ATAGCAACGTTATAAGTGGTTATTGATTCGTACCCGGGTACCTTACAAAATACAATAACAATGACCTTGAAATGTACCCGGTACAAATCAAGGGGGGTACCGATCAAAGGGGGTACCTTCCACGGTAAAATACGGTATACTGTTTTTTTTTCTAGTAAAAAGTTTTTTGGAAATTGTGGTCCAAATGATTGTCAAAAAGAGTTGAGAAAAATTTAATATTAAGACAAAGCTTTATAATAGAGATATATAAATATTGTATTTGTTATATAATTATTATTTTTATTTGATATGATTATAATAGTATATTTATTATAAATTGGTTTTTTTTCTTTTTTTTGTTTTTTTTATTGTTTTATTGTAGTCTTTGTATAGATATTTTTCTTATTTAAACTTTTTTTTTTTTTTTTCTTTAATTTTAAATTTTTCATATAGTAGATAAAATTTTTTTTTTACTTGAAAAGTTAGAAAAAGAAGGTTTAAAATTAAGAAAAGAGAAGACAATCATAATAAGCTAGAATATAAAGACTATCTAGTAATATATTAAGTTTTCTAGTTATAGAAAAAATTATTATTAAGGTAAAGTTTATTATAGCAGATTGAATATAGATAATTTGAACTTTTATTACAAAGAGCTAGGTTAGCTAGAATTAGCCCGAAGCACTCTCAAAAGTTTGGATAATAACTATATATATTATTGTTAGTGACAATCTGAAAGTACTGCAAGAGTTAATAATTAATAAAATATATACTATGACTATTTTGTAGATTATCACCTGAACTTTTGAAAAGTGCTTTAAGCTGATTTAATTAACTAATACTTGTAATTGTAGATATGACCAAATAGCTATAAAATTATACTTGTATAAAACAAATATGAAATAGATATAATATCAAGTCTAATAAAATAATAGTATGATTGCTGAATTAATTTAAAAAAAAAAGTTATTATAATTAAATTAATAAAATATAAGATATTATGGTGAATATTTTGAAAAAATTTATAATTTTTTTAAATTAGCCAGCTTGAATTAACTTTAGAGTTAAAGTTGGAATTTTTTTATTTTATATAAGGTATTCTAAATTCAATTTATATATAATATTTATAATAATTTGACATTTATCATAATCTCTAACAATAAATTTTATATTAATCAAAATAAAACCAATATAGTAATAATAATGAGTTCAATATTTATAATTTTTGCAAGCAAATTTGTTTGCAAATCTCTAATATATAAAGAAATAACTAATTGAAATAGCATATTTATAATAATATACAACAAATAACTAAAAATAGCAAGAAAAGTATTATACAAATAATTTATACTAATTAGAGCAAGTTTGGCTAGACAACTCTAAAACACCAAGATTTAGAAAGTAAACTATAGGATTATAATTATTAGATAGTACCTTTGCACCTACTTGAAAATATGAAATTTATAATATAAAAAAAGTAAAGAATATATATACAAATATATATTTAATAAAAGTTATAAAGACATGGCCTTACCTTAATACCAAAAAAAAAGAAACCAAATCTACAACAAAAAAATATTATACTTTATACTATCACCAGATAGATCTGTGCCAACTATATAACTATAAAGGAGGAGTAACTTTTATATATTTATACACAACTTGGTATATATCACTATAGAATAGCACATAATGCAAGAATTATCACATAATTTAACAATTTGTTGGCATACAGTATCGATAAATAAAGTCAGTATCTCCCAACATTAAAATTTGAATAAACTCAAATTGCAAGCAAGAATATAAAATTTTTCAACCCAAAATCTGTAAAGTTCTGACAAATTTGGCAATGTATACCGCAGAATCGCATAGAATTGCACATGCATCACATCACATAATTTGGATTTTGTCACCGCATAAAATCACTGTCCCTGTTATATAGCATCAATTGTATTTAAATATTTTAAATATTTAAAAAAGTAAGTCATAACTAAAATTATAATACTAAAATAAATAAATAAATTTGCCTATTAAATTCTACAGTTTAAAAAATAAGAATTTTGCATATAATTTAATATATATTATGATATATATGTCGTATCTCAGTTTTAGAATAAACATAGGTTTAAAATTGAGTTGCGTAAAATTAAAAATTGACTTTGAGGTGTGTCAGACTGGTTTTGTTATTTATTCGTCATACCGAATACGTATAATAAATGTCATGATAATAATATTAAAAATTGGTTCACTTAAAATTTCTTTACTACCATTCATGTATTTTGTATCGAACTAAATACTATGGATTACTCATTTATTACACGCAAAACTTTCGGTTATATTTCTTATATTTATTTAGATTGATTCTCCTTCATAGCATTCTTCTTTATATACCTCACAACCACTGCAAAATTTAACGAATAAAAAATAACAGGACGTCAAATATTACAAAAAATTGTAGAGACCTATACAGCAACTGCAATGATGGCACAAATCAGAATACGAAATCGGAGATTGTAAAAATGCCGGAGATTTCCGTTTGTATGTGACAATTTCCCGGCCTGATTTTTCAACAGACGGAAAATTTCCGTATTTATAATAATTTACCGGCTGTGGTTTATAAGCTCGCATCTAAATTCCGATTTAAAAACCATTGACGGGAAAAAGGCATATTACATTACCCGGAAATTTTGTGGCCTAATGCCAAAAACCACTAATTATCGCGTGATTATATTGAAAAATAATTATTGATTCTCGGGTATATAGTATTTATTTTATATTTGCCTACCTACTCTTAATATTAAAATTTTCTAATGTAATATATATTATATACTAAATACAATATATCGATACAACGATAACAAATAAATAAATTTCTAATAAAATTCGCCAGTGTAACATGCCTAGTTAATAATTGTACATATACAAGAAATGTTTCTTTAAACATTTGGTCATATGGAATTGACTACTGTATGACCAAAACGTGCCAATAATCAACTTAAAACCCAATTCAATAATAAACCAATCGCCGGTTTTTTTTATAAGTGCGACACGCTTTCTACACAATGGTTTGAAGTATTAACACTCAGATTATTATGCACATACATGCATACCCAGTATATAATTCGGAGATATAAAAGCACTAATTCCGATCAATGTTAAAAAATCCCATAAATTTATTTTTTAATATAAGAATTCAAATATCACTTAATTAAAGATTTTTTCCTTAAAAGGGTGCGTGGCGATATTCTTTATGCTTACAAGGGGTATCAAATGCCATATGAACTTTATTGTTCATGCAGAATCGTCATCAAGAGATTTTGCGCACATAATTTTTTGAGTTTTATGGGCGGTTGTCTTGGCTTCGCTTAAGCCGACGCTGCCCTCCTCTCTTATTAGATTCAAGCGGGCGGGGTTGTGTGGTGTAATCTAATTACACAGGAGCACATAAGTTATCCGGATGGTACACGAAGATCCTTTAGAATCTTATGCCTCGGAATACACAATTTTGATGTGCAATTTGTTTTTCTTAATTCAAAATCTTTTTGTTTTCTATAAATAATCTGTTTATAGCTGTTTAATAAATCAAAAAGATCTAATACAATATTTATTCTCAACATAAAATGCTTCGTAGTCTTGATAAAGAATTAGTTATCTAAATTAATTTAATAGCCGGTGCTGCGGTTAAATGTTTTTTTGATCATCATCAATAACGCCGATTGACTAAATTTATACCCACAGTTGAATCTCGTTACCTATTGTTGTTTATTCCTGCATTCAGATATTCGGAGAAACTGAAAAGTATATAAATATAGACTGATAAAATAATGTGCGTAACAAGTGCATATTTCTTTTCTCACATTTTTATCGCAGATTATATTGTATATAAATTTTTGTAAATATTGATCATCCACCTTTTTAATTCATTTGCTATTTTAGTACCTTCATTCGAGACATCATGACGCGGCAAAATATTTCCCAGAGTGTACAGAGAGATACTACTTCTCTTCAAAATATTTCTGTTAATACACAGAGAAGTGTTTCTCGAATTATCAATCAAAATAATACTCTTCCTGACAGACTTCAAGATATTCAAAAAAATATTACAAATTGTCAAGAAAATTGTCAGCAAATAATTGCAGATGATGATGCTCTGCGCGAAACTTTTAAAGATGTTCAAACAAAGTTTAACTATCATCCTTATATTACCCCGCCAGATACTCCATGTGAAGATACGTCTCCATACTATAAGTCTGAAATTCAAACGATCCATGAAGATGATGATATTCCGTGTACTTTGCAAAACTCTTTACAGAGAATGACTCTTTATGATATTGTCGAAAAAGTTGAGCTAGAAGCTCAATATGACTTATCACCATCTGATACTTTTCTGTTAAGATCCCCATTTACTCGTAGGTCTAGCGAATCACGGGAAATTTCACATCTCAATTTGAAAAATCCTTCTCATAATGTTCAATCACGAATTCCATCTCATTGTTTCAAAGCTATTTTGGAATTTCTTAAGGATGACATATCAACTCTTTACACTTTTCTTTTTGTCGATTCTTCAGTCTGTCAACTCGTTATTCCTTTGTTATGGCGTCGACCTTTTCATTATGCCGTTTCGAAACCTCAACTTGTCGGTGCAAGTCTAATTCAAACTTACTTATCTTTTCTTTCTGACAATGAAATTGGTCGATTGATCGATTCTGGAATTCAACTGCGTTCTATTTATAAGCCTTCGTTTAATTATGCAAAACATATTCAAGAATTTGATTCTTATATGGTAGAAAGAGCCATCAAAGATTGGATGCTCATAATGAATCCTCGTTATTCTGACTCTATACACAAAATACAAATCATCAATCAAGTTTTAAGTAATATGCTTTTTCGTCACTCTGGGGGCCTAAATATTTTGACCATTAATCCTGATTATGAAGATGAAAAAATCTTTTTCGACATTTCACAGTTTCCGGGTGCAAGAGATGCATTATCTAAAATTCGAAATTTCATATTAGATTATCATGTGCGTTATGCTTCTTCCGAGGCTGGTGTTTCAAAACTTGTCACCATGATGTCTCAATATGCTCACAATTTACAACACATTTCTATTAAGATTGGTTACCTGGATGATCCCGTTCCTCCTATTGTTCAGTCATTATCGAAATTAATCAAAACTCAAAAAGCATTAAGATCTATTGAAATTGAAAATAATTGGGATCCTTCAAAAATACTTTTGATATATTCATCAATTCATTGTCAATTTCAAAACTTGACAAAATTATCTTACACCGGTTTGCTAATCCCAGAAGCATTTATGCAACTATTGTCTACTTGCACAAAATTAGAGACGTTGGAATTTGATGGATTTTATAATATACAAAAATATTCTTTTGCTGATTATGTCCTTCCTCCTAATCGTTTCTCAATCAAGAACCTTAGTTGTCGTGCTGATCTTTCAAGCATTCATCCATTTAATGCGACGAAAGCCGATACTTTAGGAATCATCATTCAGATGACTAACAAAAATTTACGAAATTTAATGTTGGGTGGTATTACTACTGATATCTTGGATATAATTGCTACGTATTGTCCAAATTTAACGAAGTTATATATTAAAGGTCCAGGCTCAAAATTACAGTTATTTAGAAAACTATTAACTGGATTAAAGAACCTTGTGGAATTGGATTTAGGTGATATTCATGATGACGCTACTTACGTGAATCCAATTGATTTAACTACTATAAAGATTATAGCAGAGAGTATACCTAGTTGTGTACGAAAATTTGGTGTACATTTTTCGATGTCTTCCAAAGGATTACGACTATTTCTTGAAAATTGTGTAGCAAAGTTTGAAGTCATTAGTTTATTCAGAAATAGTATGATTAATGACGATATTTTGGACGTCTTGGTTGAATATGCGAAATTGAAGGGTACGCTTCGAATGATTAGCTATTTTCCTGAAGCTTGGATTAGGTTTGGGCAAAATTTTCAAGGTTTTTCTGGCGAGGCTTTAGAGAAGGCATATCGGTGGATTCCTGTTATTAGAAAGGAAGCCAGAAATGAAAAGCGTATACATGGTAAATTATACTTTTATTTGATTTTTATTTGGATACCATCTTTATTGATACTTCTTGCCTTATTATTTTATCTCAACGATATGCTTGCTTTTTTCTTTTTTTAATATGTAGCGTAAATATAAGCTCGTCTTCTACAAACTGACATTGTGCGCGGGATAACAAGCATTATGTAAGCGGGAATTTTTTACTTATCTAAGAATTCTTTATGTATAAACTTAAATTTTTTTCTTGTACACTTCTATCAAGAAGTTTATGCTTTTGTATATTTTTGTACATTTTTTTATTTATTGAATGATTTTTTTTTAAAAAAAAAATTAATGGATTTATTTTTTTAAGGATCTTATTTCTTTATAATGTATAACGACTAGTGGTACAAAAGTCTGATTTTTCTTGGATCGAGTCTTAATTGAACTTTTCGTTATTAGTTCAAGAAAAATTGCTTTTGAAATTGCATTATGGCTTGTTGGAATAATACATTTATGAATGCTTATATTTTAGCTTGCAATTAAAGATAATATAAAACTGATTTTATTGTATTACATAATTAATATAATAAGTATATATATATAATTATTATTATTATTATTATTAAGCTAGGATCTTGCTTGTATTGAGTAATTTATATTAGTTATATAAAACTATATAAAATTTAAATTATATTAGAACAAACATATATTGTATAGTAGTTATACTATTTTATTAATCAAAATCTCAAAACTGTTTTAGAGTTGTTAGTACTATTTTGTATATTATAATTAAAAATTTATTTATACAACTTTTATATAATAAAATTTTTTTTATAATAGATTTTTTTTTTAAAAATTTTTAGTTTAAATTTATATTTTATATAAGCTTGTTACAAAACTTATATTTAAAATATTTTTTTAAAAAGTTACTTTTAGTAAAATTTAAATTAAAAGTCTTGATTATATATTAGCAAAAATATATATAGTCAAACCTCTCTTTAAAGATTAACTGCATTCTAGAGAACTCCTCTAAAAGAATATTCAGCATGCAAGCCAGGAGTATTATCATACAAAATAACTGGCAGGTGGTGCCCTTGTATAAAAAATCTTGGTGAAGAGAGAAAGTCTCATAGTAGGCTTCTATTTTGTCAACAAAGCTTAAAGGTTGTTACTTCAAAGAAGAACACAAAAGAAACAACAGAAGTTTTGAATTTTAATATACTTTTTAGAAGTTTTGAAAGTATCTACAACCAAAGACCTTTTATTATATTTTCACTATTTTGAAACTTTTGCCAAAAAGTGAAAAAACCAGTATATTTTCTTCAAAAAATTGGCAGTATTTACTCCTTCCAAATTAGAATTTATCTACCAAAATAGAATCTTCTACAAGCTTATTTAGATTATACTTTGTCAAATAAACAATAACAGTGTATTAGAGGTTAGAGAGATTATGTGTAAAAATTTTTTAATATTAGACATTTTTATAATATTAAATTAGATTTTATTTTATACAATATTATATAATTTATATAGTTTAGCACAGGCAAAAATAGTACTGTCATGGCTATTTTTTTTTGTCTTTTTTTTTTTTTTTTTTTGTTTTTGTTTAGTTTAGTTTTTTTTTTTTTTTTAATATTCCTTATTTTATAAACTTTCTATTGTTCTTTGGTAGAATCTTCTATCTAGGAGGCTAGAAGAAAAAAGTTAGAAAAGAAGATAGTCATGACAGGCTAATGAACCAGGTCAGTGAACTAGAGTGAGTTAGTTTAAAGTAAATCAAACTAAATTAGAGAGATCAAACTCATTTTTTGCAGGTCACACATAGGTGTTTATAGTAACTAGATGAGCTACATACCCATATCTTTAGATATATTCTTTTTTTTTAGATTAATTGGGAGTCCATAAGTAAGCTAGAGAGTATTATAGTAAAATGTAACTCAGATTACTATATAAATTTACTATAGAGCAAATGTGGCCTGCGTGAATCTAAAACTTTTTTTTATACTAAATTAATTACTCTTCTAACTTAAGAGACTTTTGTAAAGCTTGTTAAAACGCATCTAATGGTAGTCAGAATGTCAAAATCGGCCTAGTAGGTGCTGAGATATCTTTAAAAAACCTTTCTTTTCTATGTAAATTTCTTTGCAAAAATACTATTATTTGCAAAGAAATTTATATAGTAAAAGAAAGGTTTTTTAAAGATATCTCAGCACCCACTAGGCCGATTTTGACATTCTGACTATCATTAGATGCGTTTTGACAAGCTTTACAAAAGTCTCTTAAGTTAGAAGGGTGATTAATTTAGTATAAAAAAAGTTTTAGATTCATACAGGTCACATTTGCACTATAGTAAATTTATATAGTAATCTAAGTCATATTATTCTCTAGCTTACTCGTGGACTCCCAATTAAATTAATAATCAATAAAGTATAGGCATGTAATATAATTATTAAAAAAAAAAAAAAACCTACAAAAGTTTACAAAAGTATATAAAAAATTTTTTTTTTATATTAAGGTGATTATTTAAATTTCTAGCATTTTATTAGTTCAAACGGGTAGGTCATATATCTGAAAACTAGCTTTATATATTACATTAGTATTACAAAAGTACAACTAGTCACATATACAACTTTTGGTTGTCTAATTAAATAGTCTACCCAAAGCATTAGTACTATGCTAGAGGTTCTACACTAGATATTATATCTATAGCCTAATTAGAAAGCTATCTATTTAAACTCTCTAGCTTCAATTAACATTATATGTTTTCTTCTAATATACCTCTATATGAAGAATAATTTACTATATAAGACTCTAAGACTTTAGCTAATAACAAAAAGCATTGATTCTTGTAGTAAACCCAACAGAGTAGTGCATGTTCCATATATACATTTACCTACTTGTTTAGTAATTTTTTCCTAACTAGTACATATTGTGCTGCCATTACCAAGTTTATATCTCAAATCAACTTTTAGAATGCTACTATAACCTGATCTATATCCCAAGCCACAATCTTTCTAATTAGTCGCTTATTACATATTTCTGTTCTTACAAAGTTTACAACAATCCTGGTATTTATATTTCAACTATCTTCTTATCTGGTAACTTTATTGGTCTCTCCCTTACTTCTAGCTAGCAACCCAAAAAGGTTGATTTGCTTAGGTTTTAGGTGCCTGAAAAACACTTTCTCCTTGATTCATACTTTCAAAGCATATGCACTTTTTTTCCAGTACAACAACCTGGTAGTTCAGCTAGTGTGTCCTCTACTATAAGACCTAGTTGCTCAGTTTTCTGATCTCAGACCCCTGGTCTGAATTTAGTCTTTATGTAGTACTATCAAAAATCACTACTACTTAAATATATAAAAATTTATAAAATGCTAGGAATATTTAATTTTAAGAAAAATAAAAATATTTACAAAACATTTTTAAAGATTTTAATAGGTAATTCACCAGTCATCTGGACAAAAATTTTTTTTTTTATATATAAATTTTACTATAAATGTAAATGCACAGTGTCTTTATCTAAAACTTTTTTTTATACTAAATAAATCACTTTTTGGCTTCTAACAAAACTTGTAGAGCTTATTAAAATATATTTAATATTAAAAAGATTTTAAAATTGGCCTAGTATTTCTTGAGAAATCTTTAAAAAACTTTTTTATATATAAAATTTTTTTTAAAAAAATTGATTTTTTTTTAAAGAAATTTTATATGTGAAAAAGAAGTTTTTTAAAGATTTCTTTTAGTATTAAATACATTTTAATGAGCTCTACAACTTTTGTTAAAAGCCAAAAAGTGATTTATTTAGTATAAAAAAAAGTTTTAGATAGAGACACTGTGCATTCGCACTTATAGTAAAATTTATATATAAAAAAAAAATTTTTGTCTAAATAACTGGTGAATCACAAAAATACTGTTCCTGATGGATTGTTGGTACCTTTCCTGATGGTCTAAAAAAAAAATGATTTATATACTTTTTTTAATAAATAGATGTTGTACAAATTTCTGATTATAAATATCAGTATCGTATAATTGGTTAACATATACTTAGTACATATTATGAACGAAAAAAAGTGTTTGTGCTTTTAAGATTTACTACACAAAAAAAATTTTAAAAGATTCTTATTCCTGAATACTTCATTTATTAAATAAAAGCTTTATTGTTATACTAGCCAAATATCTCTAAATGCTAAAAACTGTTAACTAAACACTGTTCTAGCCGTTGCATATAAGTTTTTACTCTTTAAGAAATACTTTATGTTTATTTAGCTTCTTATACATATTAATATTAAATACTAAATAAATAGAGTTGGGCCTAAGTAAAATATGTATAGTAGTATTATTTCATAATTTATATAATTTAAAGTTATTATACATTTTTAGTAAAGGTTGAATAAATTAGTATAATTAACAAAATTATTTTAAGCTATAAAAAGAGAAAATAAGTTATTATTTTATTATTTAATAATCTCATGTATACTATACATAAAGTAACTCAGTCAAATTTAATGCTTTTGATTATTTTTCTTACTATAAAGTTGTTGATTATTTTAAACATTATCTACAATAATTGGAATTCAATTAAGCAGTGTTTCGTCTATTCTGCCCTTCATATGTTGTATTATCTAACTTAAAGGAATTCTAACACAGTATAGCTTTTCTAACTTTGTAAATTAATTATTATGGACTTGAGCTGCTGTTTTGTACTTTATATCTTACTATATAGTATTATATAATTTATTATTTATATATAAAGTATTTTCTACAATAGCGTAAATTACTAATTTATGAATGTATAACACTTAGATTCTTGAATTATTTCATTTTTATAAGCTCACAATACTTATGCAATGAGTAAAACGTTTCTTATAATATTCTGCGTAATACATATGAATGCAAATTATATACATATAAACTATCAACTTACTCATTTTAGATACATGAAACTAAAGCTAAAATTATGTTTTTGTATTTTTCACCTTCATTTTTCTATTATTAATCCATTTGTATAATTTCACACCATTTTCGACAGGGTTATCATCTAAATGTAGTTTTTTCATTACTGCCGCATTTGTGAACTCTTTTGGATTTCAGTCACATTTTTGTTCAAGAAACAATTTTTCTAATGACCGTTTTATT